AAAAAACTACACTGCCTTAACGTATGGAGGAGGTAACACACCAAATTCTTATGGAGATGCAAATCGGGTGATGAGACAAACAGAGGAGAATCTGAATAAGGCTGCACTAGTAGAGACCAGAAGGACGGCTCCGACAGATAACGCTGCACGTGAAGAGGATACATGTCACAGAACAACGGAGAAACAACCTATAACAAGTCGGCACAGAGAGACAGAGGAAGGAGTCGGGGATTTTAACCCCTTGCAGCAGGCAAAGGGTTTGTAGTTTGGTATGGAGAAAACTCAACATCGATAACAAAAGGTGGTCAAAAAACTAACAGAAGAAGAAAATCCTCATGGACAAGGAGACTACAGAAACTTGGACTGAAGCGTACATCAGAGAGCGCCACAGAGAATGATGTTGATAGGTATGCAAGCGAACAGAATCCCAAGAGAAAAGCAATGGAAGAAGGCGAGGTTTCATCTAAGAGTTACAAACAAGCTGATGGTTTGATGGTTCACCAGAAACCATCCAAGTCCCAATGACGACGCTCAGTTGGAACTGTCGTGGATTGAGAAGCAACCTGACAGTTCGACGCCTAGAGGAAATGTGTCGTGAGCATTTCCCGGATTTCTTGTTTCTCCTAGAGACTAAAAACTCTAGTAGTCACGTATCAAATCTCCAAAGTTCGTTGGGTTATGACCACAGTTATATGGTGGATCCAGTGGGGCTTAGCGGAGGTTTGGCGTTGTTTTGGAAGACCAGTTATGAGGTGAAGATATTATTTTCATCAAACCGAGTCATTGATGTGGAGGTGAAGATTGGGTCACTAATATTCTACATGTCCTTCGTATATGGTGATCCGGTACGTCATCGGAGGCAAGAGGTGTGGAATCTTTTTCAGGAGATTGGTGAAAACAGAAATGGGGGCTGGTTTTTAGTTGGCGATTTCAATGAGATTATGAACAATGGAGAGAAATTGGGCGGTCCATCAAGGTTGGAACACTCTTTCTTCCCATTCCGATCTATGGCTAGAGATTGCAGATTAAAAGAAGTACCAAGCTCTGGAAATTCTCTCTCGTGGGCTGGAGTTAGAGAAATCATAACAAATGGAGTGAAAGAAAATGTCTGGATCCAATGCAGATTGGATAGAGCGTTTGGTAATGCTGAGTGGTTCAGGTTATTTCCAAGAACACACTATACGTACTTGGAAAAGCTAGGCTCAGACCATAGACCTATTCTTACCAGCCTAGCAAAGAGTATACAAGAGCGTACGGGTCGGTTCTGCTTTGATAAAAGATGGTGTGCAAAACCAGAAGTAATGGAGATAGTCAGGAAGGGTTGGGATATGCCAGGATCAGGTACTGCTGGTCGGGTTACAGAACGAATCAGATCATGTCGAAAAGCCTTATCGAGGTGGAAGAGGAGTTCAGATAGTAACACCAAAAAGAAGATTCAAAAGCTCAGACGAGATATAGAACATGAAGAGGCCAAACAACACCCGGACTTTGGCCTGCTAGCAACCTGGAAAATTGATCTGGAAAAAGCCTTCAAAGAGGAAGAATCATATTGGAAAGAAAGAAGCAAGAATACTTGGCTCAAGGAAGGGGACAAGAACACAAAGGTCTTCCATGGATGGGCGCAATCAAGGAGAATAAGAACAGAGTAGCTTCTCTTTTGGATACTGATGGCGTTGAACAATTTGACGAGGACAAGAAAGGAGATATAGCGGTCAAATATTTCACAGACCTGTTCAAATCTTCTACACCTGCAGAGGCAACAGAGCTACTCGAAGATTTTGAAGCTAAGGTCACTGAAAGAATGAACCAATCTCTCACCAGACCAGTATCAACAAGCGAGATCAAAAAAGCGGTTAAAGCAGTTAAAAGTGACAGTGCACCAGGGGCTGATGGAATGACCGGCAAATTTTTCCAAACCTATTGGAAACATCACAGGAGATCAGATAATAAAGGAGGTCAAGGATTTTTTCTCTGGTGGAGAGCTACCACATGAATGGAACTTCACACAGCTCTGCTTGCTGCCCAAGAAACCCAACCCGAATCAGATGACCGACCTAAGACCCATAAGCCTATGCTCAGTTGTCTACAAGATAATCTCCAATATCCTATGTGCCCGTTTGAAGACCATCTTGCCGCATCTAGTCTCTCAGACACAAGCGGCGTTTGTTTCTGGCAGATTAATATCTGATAACCTGCTCATAGCACATGAGATGATCCATGGCCTCAAGACAAACCCAAACTGCAAAGGTGATTACATTGCAATTAAGACAGACATGTCTAAAGCATATGATCGCGTGGAATGGGATTTCTTGGAGTCTCTCTTTGTAAAAATGGGTTTCAGCTCTACTTGGATAGGATGGATGATGAAATGCATTCGATCAGTGTCGTATACGGTCCTTCTAAATGGACAACACACATGGTCACATTACTCCAGAATGGGGGATTCGCCAGGGAGATCCCCTCTCCCCTTTTGTGTTCATACTTTGTGCTGAGGCCCTTGTACATGTCATGAACAAAGCGGAAAACAGAGGCGTCATACATGGAATGAAGTTAACAAAAAACTGCCCTTCGGTACAACACCTCATGTTTGCTGACGACAGCCTATTCCTGTGCAAAGCCAACATTCCAGAGGTTGCTGAATTTCTGAGATGCTTAAAGCTGTATGGAGACTCCTCCGGTCAAGTCATCAACTTTCAAAAGTCAGCAATCACATTTGGGGCTACTGTGGATCCAATGATAAAGAGATTGATAGCAGAGATAACTGGAAGTGAAAATGAAGGTGGTGAAGGTTCATACCTAGGATTACCATAATGTTTCAGTGGATCCAAGCAGAAGCTACTTGCGTTCATTGGGGAAAAGCGCAACAAACGGCTGAAGGGATGGTTCGCAAAGAAGCTATCACTTGGGGGCAAAGACGTCTTGCTTAAAGCCATCGCAATTGAACTTCCTGTCTATGCGATGTCATGTTTCTGTCTAACCAAACATCACTGCAAGAAGATCATGAGTGCTATGTCCAGTTTCTGGTGGGACTCAAGCGATGATAAGAGGAAAATACACTGGTTGGCCTGGGAGAAACTATGTTCATCAGAGGATAATGGCGGTCTGGGCTTCAGGGATATAGAACTTTTCAACCAGGCACTATTGGCTAAGCAAGCATGGAGGTTATTCAACAACCCTGATAGTCTTTTGGCGAGAGTTTATAAGGGTAGATACTATGCCTCATCGGAGTTCTTAGAGTGTGGTAAAGGTTATCGCCCTTCCTACGCGTGGAGGAGCATATTATGGGGAAGAGAACTACTCAAGGATGGCCTGATCAAATCCATTGGACACGGAGAATCCACATATATCTGGTCAGAGAAATGGATTATGGATTCTCGTCCACGCCAACCAATTAACAAAGAGATCAACATCGAGGTTAATAGGAAATTGAGCTCTCTGATTGATACTAATGGAGACTGGAGAGTAGATGTTTTAGAGGAGCTCTTTCCTGTTAATGAAGTCAAAAGAATCCGCTCCATGCAAATAGGAAAGGTCGCTGATCGAAGCATATGGGCACTTACTGACCATGGATCCTATACAGTTAAAAGCGGCTATTGGTTTGCAGCTAATAAATCTACCCTCAATGCCATTTCACGTTCGCCAGAAGAACAAGAGATTCTGGAGCTAAAGAAAAAGATATGGAAAGTTCAGACCAGTCCCAAAATAAGATTGTTCCTGTGGAGAGCGGTTTCAGGAGCCTTAGCAGTTGCAGATAGATTACAAACAAGGGGTCTGATGGGGAACCTAGAGTGTAAGCTATGCAATGCTGCACCGGAGACTATTAACCATGTCTTGTTTCAATGCCTTCCAGCTCAGGACATCTTACGAGCAATAAATTACCCGCAGGAAACGTCACCCACTCGCTCCCTGTCTGAGAATATGAAGATGGCAATACAGATCATGACAGATGCAGCAATGCCAGAGGATAAAAAGGAGAGCTATACCCTGGTTACTATGGACGATATGGAAGAATCGTAACTCTATTCTTTATGCTGGAATTCAGACAGCAACAAAGTCCCTTAAGCAACAAGCTATCGAGGAAGCGACATTATGGACAGAGGTGAACAAAACTGGTGAGGCTACAAGGATACAATCTCCTTCTTTAGGAGTACATCAACAATGGCACTCACCACCTGTTGGCATAAGGAAATGCAACATGAACTCCAACTGGCGAAATACATCATCTCTCTTTGGTGGAGCTTGGATCACTAGAGATCACCAAGGTTTGGTTCTACATCATGCTCGAGATGCTTTCACACTCTCCCCTAACAGATTAACAGCGGAGCTTCGTTGCATTGTGTGGACCCTGCAAAGTCTCCTTGACCTGGGATACCATGATATCATACTTGGAGTGGACAACCAGGAAACGGTCAAAGCACTTGCTGAACCCAAAGCGTGGCCACGATACCGAGCACTGCTCGATAAGATTGCAGGTTTGAGATCTAATTTCAATACGGTTATGTTGGAACTGGAATCTACGAAGTTAAACTCCATTGCTCGTGATATTGCGCGAAGTGTCCTTAGTGATGGCAGATTTCAGTCATACCTTGCGATGGGGGGTCCAGCATGGCTCCACAACAGAATTCAGAATGAAGCCTCAACCAATGATTGTTAAAGTCTTTCCCTTAAGATCAATTTGTTGGTGTTGAAGTTTTATTCTGTTGTCTTTATATTTTGGTTCTTGTGAAACATTGCACTACCTCTTAATTGAGTTCAGACGTTTAAAAAAAAAAAAAAAGGGAGAATTGTTTACCCTAAGTTTTTCTTTGGCTCTTTTGTAAGATGAATCAAATTGATAAAAGGCTTTAACTTAACAAATATGGGCCTAATTTTACTGAGCAAATGGCCAATTAACGCAGTTTATAACTCGTTTAATCAGCGCCGAAGAAGGTGCATGCGTTTCTGAAGTTTTCGCGCTGCCGTGAACAAACCTCAGTGAGAATTTACCGGGGATGCAATCAATGGCGCAAGGAGAACTTAAGAGATCTCTACTAAACAATAATCCAAACCCTAAATCTCCAATTGCTTCACGCTCAAGGTAAGTCTCTCTACTTTCTAGGGCAAACTATATGAACTTTTAACCTTTTGTGAATTTGACTTTTATCACAGAAAGAGGCAAAAGATAGCAGAACACAGAAAGTCACTTCCTATTGCTTCAGGTACAAGTTACTTACTTTCTTCCTCTCTCTCTCTATCTATTCATTAGCCATGGAGACTAACTTTGTTTTTGATTTTCCAGTGGAGAAGCGTCTGATTGAGGAGGTTCAAAAGAATGATGTTTTGATTATAATTGGTGAAACCGGTAGTGGGAAGACTACTCGTAAGTGGTTTAGTAACTTGCTGATTGTTCTTTTGACAGAGTGATGAATGAATGTTCCAAGTTTTATTTGTTTTTGTATACAGAGTTGCCTCAGTTTCTATTCAGAGCTGGATTCTGTAAGAAAAGGAAGATGGTAGGGATAACACAGCCGAGGCGTATCGCTGCTATGAGTATTGCTGAAAGGGTAGCTGAGGAAAGTGATGTTGAGTTGGGCCAAAGGGTTGGCTATTCCATTAGGTTTGATGATTGTACTTCTAGTACCACGAGGTTGAAGTTAATGACTGATGGGTTTCTGTTGAGGTAAACAAGTTGAAAAACTTTATAAACATTTTGAGTTATCTTTTATTTCTCATCAAATAATTTTTGCAGGGAAGCTTTGGTGGATCCGCTTCTTTCTAGATATTCAGTCATAGTTGTCGATGAAGCCCATGAGAGGACTGTTGACACTGATGTTCTACTTGCCTTGCTGAAAGATGTGCAGCGGGATCGGTTAAGTGGGTGTCAAGGCAGGAAAGTATCTCCGTTGAAGCTGATTATTATGTCTGCGAGTTTGGACGCAAGTGTTTTCTCAGAGTACTTTGGTGGTGCCAAAGCTGTTCGTGTGGAAGGGAGACCGTTTCATGTTGACATTCTTTACACTGTTCGTCCTGTAGAAGATTATGTGGATGCTGCTTTCAACACTATATTCCAGGTTATTGATCATGTTACCCACCATATCAGCATTTGTGGAATTTTAAAATATGAATTGGATTCTAATTTTTGCATCTGATTTTGTTTTAGATTCATTCGGAGGAGGAGCCAGGTGATATACTTGTTTTCCTCACCGGGCAAGAAGAGATTGAATCAGTGGAAAGACTTGTGAAAGAAAAACTTAAGGATTTACCTGAAGACGAGAGAAAGCTACTGCCACTTGTTATCTATTCTGCTCTTCCATCAGAGAAACAGACGCGAGTTTTTGCACCTGCGCCAACTGGTTTTCGTAAGGTTAGCAACGATTTGGTTCAGTCCTTTTATATGGTTGAGACAGTGATGATGATAAAACTAGTTTGGTGTATATTTAGGTGATATTGGCCACAAATATAGCAGAGACATCTATTACAATACCTGGAATAAGATATGTGATAGACTCTGGGTTTGTTAAGGCACGAACCTATGATCCAAGCAAGGGAATAAAGACGCTTGATGTTGTTGAAGTATCAAAAGCACAGGCGCTTCAAAGAAGGTATACCATCTTCTGTATTCATTTAACGTGGTTTGATATTGGATAAAAATTGCTAAGAAATTTGTATGCAACTAACTTTATATGCTTTTTTGTTTTTGCTTTAGTGGACGTGTAGGACGTGAGGCTCCTGGCAAATGTTTTCGTCTTTATCCTGAAAGGGAATTTGAGAAACTGAAGGATTCAACCAAACCAGAGATCAAGAGATGCAATCTCTCTAATGTTATTTTGCACCTCAAGGCTCGGGGAATTGATGATATTGTTGGATTTGATTTTATAGATAAACCTTCAAGGTACTATTTCTCTATCTTATGTCACTTCTCTTACACTAATGATATTTGGCTTCTTTGTGTAAGCCAAAAGAAAAGTTGGATCATCATTTGATGTTATAAACAGGGGAGCCATTGTGAAAGCATTGGCGGAGTTGTACTTGCTTGGTGCCTTGACTGATGATTGTAAACTAGCAAAACCCGCGGGAGAACAAATGTCACGGCTCCCACTAGATCCTTTTTACTCCAGAGCTCTAATTTTGGCCAATCAGTTCAACTGTCTAGAGGAAATGTTAATCACTGTTGCAATGCTCTCTGTGGAATCCATATTTTATGATCCTCTTGAGAAGAGAGAAGAGGTTAGTATACACCAAAGGACTGCAAGAAATTCTCATTTTCCTTTATGTTATTAACAGCTGACGAATTATATTTGTTTTTTTTGGTTTTCGCCAGGCAAGAAACTCAAGAACCCACTTTGCTAACGTTGAAGGGGATCACTTAACTTATCTTAGTGTTTATCGAGAGTCGGATGAGTTGTTGGAGAAGAGGAATAATATAATGGAAAAATGGTGCAAGGACAACTTTGTGAATAGTGGTTCCTTGAAACTTGCTCGTGACACTTATAGGTTTGTCATGTCTTCTTTTGAGTTTTGTTACATATGATTGTTATGCCTTAGTGATGATGATTCTGAAAAGTAAACTTGCAGAGAAATCCGTGAACATGTAGAACAGATGGGTTTTAACGTGTCTTCGTGTGGGAATGACATGCTTGAGTATCGTAGATGTCTTGCTGCATCATTTTTCCTTAAAGCAGCACAGAGACAAATGGATGGTACATACAGGTGTGTGGGGGTATCTTTAATGGTTCTTTAACATGTAAATATGTTCTCTGACTACTCTTTTGATGAAAAACAAAACTTAATGATGACTTGACAGGGCGTTGGAAAGTGGGGAGATTGTCCACATCCACCCAACTTCTGTTTTATTCCATTCCAAACCCGAGTGTGTTATCTTTGACGAGTTCATTCAAACCAGCAAGAAGTACATTAAGAACCTGACGAGAATTGATCATTTATGGTTGGCTGAGCTGGTTCCTCATCATTACAAAATAGATGAGTGACTAAAAAACATCTCCTTTGCTGTAACAAGGTAAAACCACAACCGATTATTCTCAGTAGCTTTTGATCCTTTATAACCTGGCGTAGAGATGAAATGTTCAGATTAAAGCTTCCAGTGAATAGGAAACTGAAGTCCTTCAGCAGTGCATCTATTTACAAGAAAGAAGGCCAAACATAATCTAATGCTCATTTACGGAGCCGGAGACAACGTGCAATTTTGAGGAACTAAACGTCTATTTATTGTTGTAATTTTTAAACCCATTTATAATACTCGTCTCGTCTTAAAAGCTCCCCAGTATTCCCTTTATTCTCTCATAAATTCTCAAAATTGTGCCCCCATGTTTCTGCATATGCTTGCACTTAAATCATTCATAATTTAGTCTTTTATTATCAGTCAAATTTACTCTTCTTCCAAACACATGGCATTGTTTTTTTTTTATCTCTCAAGCTATATAACATTAAACATCGACTTTGTAAATGACGAAAGAAGGCTTGAAACTTGGTTGTCTCCTAATATACATGTACTTTAGCAGCTTACTATGATGGATGGTCTGACTCTTACACAAACACCGAAACCTGTTCCTTATATTGCCATGAAAAGCAAAGAAAATCTGCAATGATGTGGATTTCTCAACCATACTCTTGAGTAGATTTGGGATATCAATGAAAACAGATCATAGTTTATAGATATTTTCATAGATCTCTTATCAAGAATCCAGCAATGTCTCACTCACTTATACTAACAGGACCATCAAGGAATATAGATATTTTAGGAGATATATGTGGTCTCACATTGGTACAAATAATGAAGACTTGACGAGGCTTGTTTGGTGCAAATGCTAAGTAGAGTAAGGTCAAAAGTGATGACAAGTATAAGAAGGTTGATGCTACCAGCAAACCAAAGCATCCATTAATCATATATCATTAACTCAAAATGTAAAACCATGGAAAATTGAAAAATAATATTATTCTCTTATCTTTCTCTGTGATTCAAAATCTATAATGGGGGAGGGAGAGGTCTCGTGGATAGTTGATTCCCTCCAGTAATTCAATAAACTCAGATAAATCTCCCAGAGACTAACAACTACTACTTCTTGCGAGAGAACAAGACACTCACCGCAACGGAGATAGTGATAACTGAAACAGGAACAACCCAGTACTGCTTCGTCAAGTCCACAAGCTTCTGAACAGAGTCTTTTGGCTCCTCTTTCTTGTAGATCTTAAGCTCTGGTATTTCTTGTACTGAATCTTCGTCAAGCTCGCCGATGAAATAATCTTCCATGAGTTCCCTAGCAGTTTTGCTGTGCCCCGCGTCTTCGAAATCATCCGTTGCATCTTTGCCTTCATCAACAACACATGGATTAGAGACAATCATAGACCCGTCATCAAAAGAAAACATAATAGTAATCATCCAGTAGTAGAAGAAGAAGAAGGTACCAGTAGCAGCAAGAAGCACATCATCTCCTCCAGGATGCTCATCCATGTAAGAGGTTACGTCATAGACCTGTCAAAGCCAAACAATAACCAGATCACTATTATAATTTTATTTACTTCTAAGATTCAGAGTCAAAACAGACATTATCGCAAAAGCATATTCAGAGTCAACGCTAATCGAAAAAAGGATTTTATAGTCATCGGAGAGAGATAGAGCGTAAGTTTCGAAAGTGGAAAACGAATCGAGATTGAAACGAAATCTTGAAATTAAAAAGAAATAAAGATGGAGAGGGAGAGGGGAGACCTTGCCGTCGATTACAATCCAGCAGTCATCTTGCTTGTTATGAGCTGCCACTTCTTCCATGGAGTATATCTTCGTGAGAGTCGGCATTTTTTTGTCCTGATTACGAGCTGCGAGCTAAGCAGTTTTGTTATTCTCACCTTTTTTTTTCTGGGGTTTTAGGTTTTGGGTAGGTGAAAGGGGAGGAAGATAAGAACCCTATCGCTAACGCTGTCGTTTTCAGCCTAATTTCTTATCTGTTTTATTCTTAATTTCTTTTCTTTTTCTTTTTCCTTAACGTGCACTGCACTTCATAACCATGAAATTAACCTTGAATTATATTTATGTAGTTAACACAGTAATAGTACAATTTTATAATGTTAGTTTCCCAAATTTTCACATGAATTTCCAAATAACAACGAATATACATAAGATTTTTTAATCATTTATCCTCTTCATTTTTTTCTAACTAAATAACACCTCTTTTCTAGTCAACTTTGTTACACTCCCTGACTTTGAGTTTCCTTGGTGGGATGGCAATAAACTAGAAGCTGACCATCCTCACTTGCTATACATATATTCCCAGAATCGTCTGAGCTTATGCATGAAACTCCTTGGCCTGATATAAAAGTTCTTGAGAAATGGCTTCGTTGTTTTCATGTCTGCTTTAAAACAATGCTTACCTTTGAAATCATAGAGGGAGCCGAGCTTTAAGCCAGTCGACATGTCCCACAAATACACAAGTCCATCCAGTGTGCCTGTTACTCCATGACCCGATACTGTGCCCGCTACACCAGCCATGTGGACCACATATCCAATGGACTTCGAAATGTTTAAATATTCATACACCTTCACTTCTCATATAAGCAAAACTTACTATTCTCGGACATAAAGAAACCTAAGAACGAAAACATGCAGGTTGATAAAGAGGTGTGTGATGATACATTGGATCAAATTGACTTCTCAATATTACTTTATTTCTCACAAGCAGAGCCAGTCTCCAACATCCTACTGGTCTTTCTACACTATCACATTTAACGTATAGGTCAGGATCCGTTGAGACTAAAATCCAGATGGCTGTATCTTTGACTTCAGCTGGAACCAATGCTTTGTTGTCGACCCCTTTTGAGAACCACAGTTTTGTTGCTGCTAAAATCATGTCGATATGATCCTCCATTGTAGAATGGCTATGTAGAGAGTACTGCCATGCAAACAAACTGGTTGGTATGAACTCAAAGATCCTCTTGCTGGGAGATACAAATCTTGATACTTGGCTTCACGTTGAAATATCCCTAAGTCGAGAATAAGCAAAGTTAGCAGGCTGCAACCATGGAGAAAAGTATTAAAAAAGAAAAGCAATATTGGTTGATGCTCATCGTTCCCTAACAGGAATAGTTTTCGAAATTTAACAAAGAGATAGGCAGAGAAAAAAAAAATTCAGAGAGAGAAAAGAAGAGCAAATCACCATAATGTAAATTCTCTCCGATACCATTGTGCCTAACAACGAGATGACGACATTTTGGGATCTTCTTCAGTTCCACTATGCATGAAGATGTACAAGGATTTGCGATAATGAACTCTTCGGTAGAAACTCTGCAAATTTAGGAGAAATGAACGTTAGCAGATAGTTAAATGATGACGCAGCCCCAAGCACAAGAAAGATTGACAACAATTTAAGAGAATAACATTTAAGTCTGAAGACATCACCTCCAATAGGAGTCCATGGCCCAGACAATAAGGTTTTCACCTTTAACAACATAAACGAGATAGTCAGGATCGCACACCACCACACACTCCACATTGTCAACTGCTTGAAGTTTTGTCACAAGAGAAACATAACCAATTTTCACCTCGACAATTCTCACTGCGTTCTCTTCAAAGGAGCTGATGTACAAGTCAATCATGAGCAATCGATTTCCCTCTTTCTGCAAAAACAAGAGAGTAACCCCTTAGCTGATATCGCTATTTTGTATCTCTTCACTAGATAAAACATGTCCGAACCTGCAACATGGTGTTTTGATATTGCCAGTAAATATAAGATGCTCCCCATCTGGAGTGACGTGAAAATAAGACCTCTTGATTGTTCTCTGAGGACATGTAACAACTATCAGGTACCTAGAGAGGAAAAACGAGGTATAGTAGTAATCGTGCACTTTAACAAAAAAAAGTTATAGAGATTACATTTCCACCAGGTTTGTCATCCACAATGTGGAGTATGACAGATGTGTGACCAACAACAGAGGAAAATCTTTTGGTTGGTGCTTTAGCTGATATCTTATACATAAATAGCGTTCTGACTCTATCTTCTGTAGCAAAGCTCAACACAAAAATATAGATTTCATTACCAGCAAACTGAAGTGAAACTGATGAAACAGGCATGGGATGAAAGTAGCAGCCAAGCAGCTCAACAGTTTTTTCCATCTCATTGTTGATCTTTACATCTCTGTTGAGCTTTACGCTCGAACTAGGTGGAATTTCTGGTACATTGGATATGCGATTCTCCCTGGTATTTTCCTTATACTGAGACTTTGTAGAAGGAGGTTCAGAGATTTGGAATTCCAGTGCCTCACCAATATGGCCTTGAACATTTTCAACTTTTGACGCTGGAAATGATGATGGTGATGTATTTGCATTTCCAAAATTATGAGCTGCCCTTATATCTTGTGGTATCACACACGCCTCATCGCAATATACACTGGTGCATTGATTGTTATTCACCTTCATCAACTCAAGACCCTGGTAGTGTTCGGTAACATGACTGCTTCCATCCCCTTGTGGATTTGTTTTATCTGATACAGAGTTGGTAGACAAGGTCGGCTGAGGCTCCAAGATACGTTTGGTTTTAATAGGAGACATCTTTCTTATTGAATCACCATCTCCAATATTTCTGCAACTCTTTTTACTTTCAGAGGATGAGTTCTTGTTTCCACGCAGTTGATTGGTCGAGACTCTTTTCCTGCTATACACCTTATGTGTTTCTTTTCTAACAGAACTAACTCCAGTAGGGGTTGTGCCAACGACGAAACCATTACCTGCAGACAATCATACACATCTTTATATTACACAGCAGACAAATACAGTCATGAAAAGCTTCGACTCGTTGGAGGCAAATGGTGATATTGACAAATTTAACTTACTACCTTCAGTAGAACAAGATGTACTATTTGCTTCCTTGTTCTCAGAGAGGTGCTTTGTTTGCATTGTGTTTCCTTCGTCTGCACAGAGTTCCTCAGAATATTGGGTTAAAATCTTGTTAGTTTGACTGGTGCGTCGTGGTATTGCCAGAGACTTCTTGACACAGTCGTCTTGATTATTTTCTACCAAAATAGTACTAACATCATGTGAAGCCACTTTATAATCTCAATCGTATCCAAAGCAGAAACCGATATACTTGCATTTACGGTTACAACATGTTCCTTGTCTATGGGCTTTTCAGGTAGATCTGCTGGATATGTTACCTTGGAAGATGAGATGATATGACTACTCCCAGGAGCATCCAATTTGAGACGCATCACAACTTTCAGGAGCAATGGGAACATCATGTGAAGACGGTTTTATGATCTCAATTGTGTCCAAAGAAGAAATCGATAGGCTTGCATTTACTCTTACGACATGTTCCTCGTCTTTGGGCTTTTTGGGAAGATCTGATGGATATCCTTCCATGGAAGATGAGATGATATGACCAATCCTAAGAACATCCAGCTGAGACTCATCAAAACTGTCAGGAGCAATGGGCACATCATGTGAAGATGGCTTTATGATCTCAATTGTATCCAAAGCAGAAACCGATAGGCTTGCATCTACTCTTACAACTTGTTCCTCGTCTATGGGATTTTTGGGAAGATCTGTTGGATAGACTTCCTTGGAAGATGAGATAATATGACCACTCCCAAGAACATCCAAGTGAGACTCATCAATACTGTCAGGAGCAATGGGCACATCAGTTGTAAATTCCTGAACAGAATCTAAGGCAACAACTTGCCTATTCTCATCATCTCCACTGCATGTTCATATCGATAGGGACACAACTGCAAATTTGAAGACGAATTATGGACAATGAAATTAGGGAATACTTCAGGAATGACAGAATTTGTGCAAAAATAAATATAATCAGGCATTTTATAGGGGTTAAGTATACCAGCTCATGATGCATCATCAAGTTGGCTCGTTTTACTGTTGTCTAAACGATTTAATCTAGCAGACATTGTTTCTGACACATCATTTTGTGGGGCCTTCTTGACTGAGGTTTTCTTAAGCAGTGGAATTGCTCGAGGAAGTAGAAATGAGATCATTCATCATTGATTGGGTAATTTCGTGATTATCTAAATCTTTTGTATTTGGTTCCGCTGAATTCTCTTCATTGACTACCATGTTAGTAAGGGTCAATTTTTCTTTTTGCTCGCAACTTGTATTATCATCCGTTACTAGAACATAACTTATTGGGTTATCTGCAATAATTGGACCAAAGTAATCTAAGAAGAAGCAGCCATAATGATCACAATCTTCAGAAGACGTCTTATATATTAAACAAGTTCAAAGAAAATGAAAGCTAATACCTTGCACAAAATCTAAGGTAATAGGCGCACAAAGATTGGAACTGGTCATATCTTGGCTCTCGTTTAGAAAAGTATCATCGTTGGGTTTGTCTTCTTTTTCTTGCAACCCCTGTAGCTGGAAAATTTATGATCCTCTTGTTAATATCACTTTCTCAGAATAAATTTTCACCAGACTTACTAAACCAAAATAACAAAAGAGGGATATGAGAAAAGTATACTAAAAGTTCTTTATGAACAAAATGTTACCCTGATGGATTACCTGTTCAGAAATGTTGGATAATGGCTTTGTTTTACAACGGTCAGAAAGCTGGTTTGTTTCTTGGATATGGACGGCTACTTTCACTTCTGGAGGGTTTTCTAATGGTAGAGATAAATTTTATTTTGTAGCATGACAAGAATGCAACTGCTCCTGTAGTGCCCCTTGAAAGTCAACTATCTCCACTCCTTTTGCTGAACAGATTGACACTGGTGCTACATTTAAAATCTCTCCACCTGAAATCGAGTCTTGGAATCTTGGATTTTTATGGTCTTCTTTTACTACTGGATTCTGATGGATTATTTCAGATTTTCTACTTATTTTCTTCCTAGCCACTTGCATGTTCAGATAGCATAATAAATCTGGATTTTCAGACAGGGCTTGTCTTTCATCACTGACCCTGATTTGAGAAACCTTATTGCTGGAGTTAGATTCTACCATCCCATGGGAGTTTGTCACAAGTTCCCGGAGTAATCTCTGAACCAACGGATTTTTAAAGCCAAAGAACTGGAGCAAAAGAAAAATCACAGTCATCAGTAGCATGCTCGAGTTATCCGACAGGTTTATCCCAAGTAATACGATCTTCTCTTTGTATTAACTCATAAATCGGAAGTCAGAAATGCCAGGAAAATATAGTATGCCTATAATGACAAAACATGTTATTTTGGAGCAGTGAAATGTAATAGAGGCTTTAATTTAATCTTAATTTATCAGGAAGAAGAAAAGGCATGAGCACAGCTTATAGATCCCCACATGTTAACTGTATCTCCTTAATCTGTTTAGCAGGACATTACTCTTACTATAATGCTCCATGACCTAAAGAAAAAGCAGATTTTAATTTTTCCATGTAAAGGTCACAAGCATACAAATAGTGATCATGTGGCGATCAAGCGTTTTTTCAAAAGCTTCACCAAATGATTTCAACAAGATGTATGCATTTTTGGAAAGGCTTGATTGTAGATTAGACTTGGTTTATAACTTATAGGAGTAACATGAAAGATGGTCTAATGCGTTAACTAAAAGAAACTAAGTTGTACCTCCACGCCATTCATCTTACAAGTAAACCCTTTCCCATGCCATACTTTTAAGTTGGAGAAGCCCGTCTTCTGGAACTTTTCCCATGCAATATCTGGGGTCTGACCCGTCCATGATTCATCCAAATATCTAATCTGCATCGATAGAGTAAGACTCTGCTTCATTCTAAAGAAATGTATGCACAACCTTATAAGATGTTTAAGGAATTAACAACACAAGAGAAATAAAGGTCCTTTGGCACCTTCTTCAATCTCCATATAATATGTGTTTTCACTCTGAGTTCAAACAGCTTTATAACCCACATGATAAGGGAAACGATATTTTCCCTTATACAATAAAAGAAGCATATCGAACCAAAATTCTACAAAATCAACATGTATTGTTCAAGAACCGATAACACTCAAAACTGATAAGTTTGCTCCTCTTCTTTGATCCCAATATACATCCCATGCTTAAGAATCTAGCCTCTAGGCTATGCAATATCACTCGACGTTAAACTTTAAATCAAAAATTTGTTCAAAATCTTAGACCAGAGTTCGATCTACTATTCAAGCTACTCATCGGATCACATGAATCAAATTCAATCAGATTACAATTTTCTAAGTAAATCGACACATAACCACAGAAATTGAGAGATAGAAAGCAAGAGATATCGAGAGACGAACCCTAGATGAACTCCAATACTTATTATCCCAGGAGCCGCTATAGAGAGCTCCGACGGAGACGATTTCAAGGTCATCCGATTTTCTATCTTCAGATACAACACTTGGACTCGCCATTGAAAGTGTGAACCACGAGAGGATGGATCGCACAACGGTGGAAGAAATCGCGATGAAGATATAGAGATTATTATGATTTATTGAGTCACGGTAAATGAATGATTTTCTCTCCATAACTGTCAAATCTATAAGGCCGAAGCTTAAACTGCATATTAAAAACTTACTTCTACTGGGCTTTTTGACCCAAAATGAACTTTAAAAGGCTAAAAGCAGACTAGCTTGCATAATTGTGTTTAATTAAGTTGGTTATTTCTTTCTGTAACAAATTAAGCTGGTTATCAAACTGTATAGTTTGTCCGTACAAAGACTCAAAACAATAGATTTCGAAATATTTTAAAGATTTGATGAGGAGTTTAATGCATTTTATTAGTTCTTGTGTTTTTAGATTTTAAGGGAATGCAAATAAATTTGAAACAAACAATTCTTCTAAATTTTATAAAATATTTGAATTTTTGTATATAGAAAAAAAAAGAAAAAACAACAAAATTTTGACTAGTGAAAATAATAAAATCTTAACCATTTATATATCACAAGTATAAAAAGGTATTTAAAGAAAAAGTCGGGTAGAAACTTTGACTAACAAAAAAAAATTGAATAACAAAAAAAAACTCAATCATTTCTATATCACACAATGTTAACTCTCGTGGTGTCACTCACGGGCAACCACGACGAGTTGTTTCCCAACGTTCTTACCGTGGAAGAGTCCTAACAAGGCAGAAGGTCCACTCTCGAGTCCTTCGGTTATGTCCTCAATGTACGTTATCTTCCCTTGTCTTATGTAAGGAAGCACAAAATCCAAAAACTTGGAGTATTTGTCGTAGAAATCAGCCACAGCAAAGCCTTGAACCTTTATCCTCTTGTAAAGGATCGTGGTTAGGTTGTGTACACCTTCTGGATTCACTAAATTATACTGTGAGATCATTCCACAAACTGCTATACGACCATTCAACTTCATGTTTATTAGTACTGCATCCAACATTTTCCCTCCCACGTTCTCAAAATATATGTCGATCCCTTCCGGAAAATACCTAGTAAGTTAGTTATTTATTAATTGTAGATTAAGGCCAAAGATTCGTTATATGATTGTTTATCTATATATAAAACTACAAGATGTATGTAGTGACTGACCTCTTAAGGGCAGCGTTAAGGTCATTTTCCTCCTTGTAATTGAAAGCGTCGTCGAATCCAAACTTTGTCTTGAGAAGATCGACCTTAAAGAAGCTCCATCAAGAAGGATGAGTCACTTTCTTGATATAAAATGCATTACTGCTTGATAAGTACTAGTAAGTACCTTTTCTTTACTACCGGCGCTTCCAATGACATAACAACCCATCAGCTTTGCAAATTGTCCCACAAGCTGACCAACTGCCCCCGATGCAGCTGACACGAAGACAGTCTCTCCTTTCTTAGGTGAACAAATTTCGTAAAATCCAGCATAAGCAGTCATACCAGGCATACCTGTTAAAATCAAACTAAACAATTTATTCAAACACATCTTTCGTGTTCCAATATGTTAATTTATGTTTTTTTGCATTTAAATAAGGAAATAAACTTGACGTTTTGAATTTACTATTAACAATGAACAACAGTACTAGCTAACGCCATCAACCATTCAGGGGATATAAACGATAAAGGAAACTCAAATAGAAGAAATGTTACTAAATTTGTTAGCAATCCAACCAATTTCACATAATTGTTAGTAAAAATTTCACGACTTTTTAATGAAACACACACATATTTTTTTTAATGATTCCAGACCATAATGACCTACGTTTCCTGCCAAACAATCGTGTGTATAAGACACATATTAAGAATCTCATACCAGCCAGGCAGCCATGCTTTTTCACTATCAGAACAAGAGGGCCAGAAAAAAATTCAAGAATCACACGGCCAAGTTTTTTTCACAATAGAATCAAGAATGAGATAAGATTTATATACCCAGAAGTCCAGTGTAGTAAGATAATGGAACATCGGTGTGATGGATCTTAAAATGTGAGTAAGGAGTTAGAGTAATAACGCTGTATTCCTCCCATCCAACTAGTCCCCACAGTAAATCTCCTTTTTTGTAATCTGGATGCCCTGAATCTATCACTTTAGACACTCCAAGGCCAATGATTGGCTACATGCAACACATTCAAAAAAAAAACTGAGCAACATTATCAAAAATTATATTCATAAGACGCGTACATATATAGACATAAAACTACACGAATATAATAAAGTTTCTACATAATTAAAATACAAATTTTTCAAATAATCGGTTGCAAAACATTAAAATTCAACCAATGCACGAAACACAAACAGAATGTTATAAAACTATCCTATTCAAAATGTCAATGAGGTATCCGATTTCCAGAGAAGAATGAAAGATGTTATCCTCGTTCGTACCTCGCCGGTCTTGTACGGTGGAACGAGCGAAGAACTCAAGGGCTCAGGCTTTCCCATGCAAATGCGCATGTAAGGATCGCAAGACAGGTAAAGATTCTTCACAAGAACTGACGTGGATCTCTCCGGAAGCCTTAGACTTTCGATAGTGGTTGTGGTGACTTTTAGATCAGATTCCTTCGGGAATCCACTCACATAATCTGGGAATATGATTTGCTTGTTGGTCACCGTTGCTGGCTCTCTGTTAGCCATTTCTCTTTTTTCTTTTTACGTACTTTTGAGACCCTAAGAGCAACCTTAACGTTCAAGCTCTCAAAATAAGACTTTTAAAGATATTTTTTTTTTTAGTGTGTTTCGTTTAAATGTTTAAAGTCAGATGTCTAAACCACTATTCCATTGACAGGTGCAAGCAGGAGTTGCAGGGATTTCTTCCGAGTAATTCGAGGATCTATTGTTATTTCTTCTTGAGCGGATGATGTGGGCTTTTCAGTAGGATTCTCAATGCTTTGGTGTGATCATATTTTGTCCCTACAATAAAAAAAAAAAAAAAAATTTGTCCCTACACCATTGGATTTCTCTGCCTCATTGTTTGATCCAAATTTTTCGGTAAACACTGACTACTTTTTTTTTTTTTTGTCAATATACCACTATATCTTGAATAACATATGGAACTTTTTGTAAACGGTGATCTATTTAGAAAAAGTTTAAAGAACTGATTTGAACATTGTCCATTTATTTTTCTTGTCAATAACCAATTAGCGATTAACGGCCAAAGCATTACAGATACAAAAATAACCATGTTTAAAAATATATCGAATACATCTTACTTAGGTTTAGATGGTACGTAAGACCTCGTTTGGTACAGCAGATGATAAAACAGTGACAGTATGCTGTAGAATTAATATGCCGCAGAAGCTGTATGATTTCATTAAAGTTTTTAATAAGATGATAAAGTTTTTAATATAATTGAAGATAACTTGATTCTCAAGTTAAACTAAAATTATATGAAATAAGCAATATATCTTATCTAGGAGTTATTAAGATAAGTTAAGTTTAGTGTGCTTAGAAATATCATCTTATTATATAAAGAAGTCTTTTCTCAATCATTAGAGTGCCATGTCACTAATAGGACAATTGTTATCATGACACATGGCAAATTTTCAAACGATGCGTTTTGTTATGTTGTTTCTATCGGGTTTTTGTAGCCCGTGTTAATTATGTAGTTGGGCCTGGTCATCTCACATCCTAAGTCACTCACCAGAACTAGGGTTAGTCGTCCTCTATCTTCGTTGTTGTCGAGGTCAATCTGCAGAAGCTTCCATGGCGTGTAAGGATTCAGACTTTTAGATATGTATGTTGTTTGTTTTCCAGTTTCCGACCAAGATTAATACTTTTCTCATCGTCGTTTTTTTCACTGTTACAGTCGATGATTACGCAAGCCACCATCAATGCTAATTGTGTTCCCACTTTCTGTTCAAGACTCACCGCCGGCTCGATGTTCTCCGTCGCTGGTTTTGATGTGTGCCCAGAACTTCAGGCTTACTGACTCAAACCTAATGATTCGGTACAGCGACTCAAGATGAGATAACCGAATCGGTCTCACCATTGCCTGCAGAGGGGTTTTGGTTTCATAACCAAGTCGAGCTAATTGGATTGGCTATCACAAGATCTCAGCTTCCAGGTAGATATAATGTCTCAGTTCATTAATTTATTCCGACAAAATATGCTTATTAGAGTTCCGCTGTCGACGTCATAGGCGAGGTCACATCTGTGAAGAGTTCTGTTAGTGATCCTACGGAGAGGAAAAACCATGTCATGGTGACTATAAAGCTGGAAAACTAAGTCCTCCTGTTTCCGTTATCTCCCGTACACCATACGCCTACTCATTTTTGTTTTTTTTTTGAATTGAATGTTAAATTTAATTCAAAGAAAAAAGACCTTGTTACATATTTGTGTCCTTTCCTAATGATTAGAAATAACAAGAGACTTTAAAACAAGAGTTAGCAAAAACAAAACTAACTCAACTCCACTCCACAACTTCTGCAACTTTCCAGTAGCACAAAAACTCTCCACTACATCTTTCAAAACTACCTTCTTCAGAACTCTCACAAAATGCAGTTCCCAACATCCAAACTCAAACACCAAGCCAGGTCTCACTCCTACTGGCACCAGCCCTCACTCCTACTGGTTTCAATCCAACTATAATCCTACTTAGCACTCACTCCTACTAAGTAGCCAGCCCTCACTCCTACTGGTAAAAACCCTATCTCGAACTAAACCAAAAACCCATCCCATTCTCCAACTCTTTATTACCCTTCCTTCTCAACGCAGTAAACCGGTTTCTCATGTTTTTATCAAGGCGCTTGATCACAACATCACTTGGAGCCGGGGTCTCCTTGTGTCTTCTTCTGTTTCTCTCCATCCAAATGGCATGGACAGAAGCTTGCAACATGTATCGAACTACAAACAACTTCACTTTACTCCAATGCTGTGCCATCGTAGCAAGCCTTATTAAATCATCCCACACCACCGTGAATTGACTACATAACACATTTCTCATTAAGCTTTCCCAAATTCTCCTTGAGTAAGGACATTGAAAAAACAAATGAGAGGCAGTTTCTAAAGGCTCACTACACAGGACACATGAGGCATCTGCATTAGTATTCCAGCCAAGCATTTGATCCCCCGTTGAAAGTCTTCCCTTCATCACCATCCAAGTAATAAAAGCATATCTAGGCGTTGCAAACTTAAACCACACCAAAGGATACCAAGAGCAAAGCTGATGTTTTTCCCTAATGTTTTGCCAAGTATCACCAGTAATAACCTTTTCTTATATTTTCCTTTACCATTCCTCCACAAAGACACATCCTCCTCTTCAACCCAATTCCCCTTATACTTCTCAATCTCTTGTTCCAAAATATTCAAGATTTGAATCCTGTGGTTCCTTCTCCTGTGGTGTCTGCAAGCTTCAACCACATCCGTAGCAAGTATCCCCAGGTCAATATGACCACGGCCACAAAGAACATCCTGTAAACACCCCAACGATGACCAAGCTTCGAACCAGAAAGAAGCCTTCCTCCCATTTCTCAAATCAACCCTATATAAAGCTTTCGCAACCTCTCTACATTTCAACAGCATTTTCCACATCCATGATCCATTTTGAGTAGTTTCTTTTATCATCCAAATAGAGCCCTTCCTTATAAGATAAGTTTTTATCCAATTCACCCAAAGAGAATGTGTAGATAAAATTCTCCAAAGCAACTTGAGACAGCTAACAAGGTTAACCTCCCGAAGTGGTTTAATACCAAGGCCACCTTCTTGCTTCGTTCTACATATATCTCTCCAAGCTACTTTTACTTTCTTGCCATTCATCTCTGGTCCCGACCACAGAAAACTAGAACAAATTCTCTCAATCTCAGCAATACAACCACTTGGTAATCTGAACGCAGCCATCCAAAAGTTTGTTAGACTCATAATAACAGAATTAATGAGTTGTAACCTTCCTGCATAAGATAAGAACCTCCCCGTCCATGATCTTACTCTTTTCCGAATTTTCTCAATAAGAGGAAGATAGTCTAATACAGTCATGCTCTTGGATAGCAACGGGAGACCCAAATAGCGAACCGGAAGAGACCCAGTGGCAAACTGGAAATCCTTTAGAATATCAACCCTATTCTGCAGGTTACCAGCCATGAATAAAACAGATTTTTCCATGCTTATTTTCAGCCCACTCATCTTGTCAAACTCATCAAAAACATGAAGAATCCCTTCTATGGAACTACGAGAGCCATCAGCAAACACCATCAAGTCATCAGCGAAGCAAAGATGAGTTAGACCAATATTTCTACACTTCGGATGGTAACCTATACGACCCCCCCCCCCCCGAGCAGCTTTATCAATCATTCTTGACAAAACATTCATACAAATCACGAAGAGATAAGGGGAGAGAGAGCATCCCTGTCTTAAACCTCGCTTGCTTTGGAAATACCCCGCCAATTCCCCATTAACTTGTACAGAAAATGACGCAGAGGTGATGCAGATAGAAATCCAGCTGATAAACTTTTCAGGGAGCCCCATTGCATGAAGAACATTCAAAAGAAATGACCATTGGACAGAATCAAAAGCTTTTGATATATCAATCTGCATAGCACATCGTGAAGACACATCATCCTTATGATAATCCTTAACTAGCTCTGTGGCAAGAAGGACATTCTCCATAAGTAGACGATCCTTGATGAAAGCAGATTGATTCAGATTAATACACTTCGGTAGAATACCTTTGAGTCGGTTAGCAATGATTTTAGAAATGGCCTTATAAAGGACATTACAGCAGGATATGGGACGGTAGTCTCGCATCATTCTGGCTTCTTCCTTCTTGGGAATGAGAGCTAAGATGGTGGAATTCACACCTTTAGGTAAGAAACCCTTAACAAAGAATGATTGGATCGCCACAACAACATCTTCGCCAATGATTTCCCAACTCTCTTTGAAAAACTCTGAAGTGTAACCGTCTGGTCCAGGCGATTTACCTCCCGGCATACGAAAGATTACATCTCGAACTTCCTCCTTAGTAACCTCTCTCACAAGCTTCCTGCCATCAATCTCACTGCACTGAAAGTCAAGAAGTTCTTTCAAGAAATCCACCGAAGCACCCTCAAAATCAGATGGTTGCCTTGTCATAAATTCAGCAAAGAAACTCTCTGCTTCCACTTTAATTTCCTCATCTGTTTTCGCCAATGTTCCATCCAATCTCTGAATCTCATTAATGGCATTCCTAACTTCACGAAGTTTAGCAGAGTTATGGAAGAAACGATTGTTTCCATCTCCCACTTCAAGCCAGTGCACCTTAGAACACTGTTTAAGAAAATCTTCCTCAATCTCCGAAAGTCTCTGCCATTTAGTATAAACTTCATTCTCAACTCTCATGGCATCAATAGTGGGATCAGCTAAGGTCTCTTTTTGCTTAGAGCATAAATCCAAGTAAGCTTCACGAGTTCTTCGAGATATATCACCAAGTTTCAACTTACTCAGAGTTCGCAGAGGCTGCTTCAAAGCTTTTAAATGCTTTGTGAGACGGAACATAGCAGAAGTCGATAAATATAGCTTCTCATGATTTTTCCAATAATCCTCCATTAATGGCTTGAATTCCGGCATCTTTGAGATAATATTGGTGAACTTAAAAGGCTTCCTTTTCATCTGAACTTCCTTATTAAGCTGGATTCTACACCGCAAGTGATCAGAGCAACCTCCTG